TTTTTTTTTTTATTCGTAACTGTTGTTGACTGTATCTCAAGGACTTCTCCCGCCTCATATAATCATCATTCATCCGGCAATCTTCCATTATTTTATTATTTTTTTTTTCGCTTCTTCCTGAGATCATATATTTCTGGTAACAGGTAGACATCTTTTATTAACATATTTAAAGTTTTATCAGTTATTCATATAGATTTATAGGCATAACATTGTTTGCTTATTTAATTAATATCAGTGATATTGAAAACTCATAACAGCTAACAAATCTCTTATCAACGTAATTGATAATATTTTCAATTCCAAAATTTTTTAATAATGACTGAAATGTCCAAATATTTCATACAGTATAAATTTTATTTGTAACGTAACTGCAAATAACAGTAAGAGAGAGAGGGAGAATTCAATACTGTTCACTAAAATTAAAATTCATAGCGTGATTTGTTTAATATTTGACTTTCAAAATTAATATCTTAATTTTTTCTCCTTCATCTTTTAAAATTATTATCGTAAACAATTATCCTCTCGTGAAGTTATAGTAATTTTACGGTAATTATAATGGTTAAAAAATGAACTAATTAACTAGTGATTGGAAGATTGAAGATCATTTCATTTCATTTCATTTCTATTCATAGCAAATGTCCAATTTAATAGCCAAACAGAGGAAATAAACGAATAAATTATTAAGTATGACAAATAACATTAATTCTTTACGTATTGATTATACATTATGTCAGAAAAAAAAAAAAACCACCATTACTCTTACTGATATTGAACGAATTACTAATTACTAATGTAAATTTTTTAAATTGCAGCATGAAATGGTTGAAAAAATTACAAGACCAGAAACAAAAATAGCAACAACCATATCAAGTAATGTAAGAAATAGTATATTTGGACATATATCACCACTTGTTGGTCGAAATAACAACAATAACAATCGTTGTTCATCACCTAAAAATAATTCAACAACGACAAATCGATCGTCAAGGTATGTATGTATATGTAAATTTACACGTTGCAAATGAAATATTTATTATGTGTATTTCAATGTTAACATAATTACTATACATTATAGATCATGTTTAATTAGATTACTCAGATGAGATCAGTAATAATAAATTTTGTTTAAAATTAAATTTTTGAAAATCTTTTCAGAGATAGAATTTTCTTTTTTTTTTCCAATATTATTATAGGATAAATATTGCATTAACATTCAAAAATAAATCACATACGCATTTATTATGATTCATTCAAATTTTTTTTCACAATCTTTTACTCTATCATTTATTAGTAAATATTATCATTAGAGATTAAATAGACTATACATTAAACTGTTATAAGTTGTCCTTAGATCAATACTCTATAAGCTTTAACTTCAATATATTTCTACATCGTAAAGTTATCATGTATTATTATGTGAAATTGATTAACTTCCTGTTATTTTTGTGCGTATAATGTTTTATTTGATATCAAAATATGTTTGCTATTTGCAAATTTTTTTTTTTTTTTATTTCCAAAATTCATTTGAGCCACAGAATTCTTTTTTTTAATTCTTAATCTACTTTTTTACAGCAGTTAATAAATTTTTCAGTTTCATTTCTAAAAACTTCCCATGAAAATAAAGTAAAGGATGGGAAAATGGATTTAAATTATATTCAAAGGAAAATTTCACGTTTGTTCATTTATTTACTTTTTTTTTTCAACTGATCATTGAAAGAAATTTTCGGTCATTCATTTCAGCATCAAAAAATTAATCGATCAAGATCATTTTCATTATGAGAAGGTTGAATTAGGATCAATTGATGTTGCATTGATCGCTTATGAGCCTAATGCATCATCACCTAACAGACAGCTTCTATTGCAAATCAAAAGTGCTGGCCAAAAATGGTTTCAAATTTTTCTTTTTCTTTTAAAA